CTGGCTTGATCTTCTACTCTATTGTTACATTCGTTTCTCATTGCACTCAATCCAAAGTTGATGTTAGGTTTTCTGTTTTATTACTCCGTAATGCAGAAAACCTCCGGCCATAATATATAGAAAATTTCGGAGCATAGCTAACCTTTGTTAAGAATGAAGGTATAGGCCCCTAAAAACGAAGGCTTCCTTGCCCCTGAATCAAAGGGGCCTCTAGTGGAAGGTATCTCCCCATTCAAGGGAATGAAGCTAGAATAGCAACCGCATGTCGGTGGCCGCGCAGACTAGGAAATAAGGCGAACGGTAGGTAGGCAGCAATATAAGGCACCGGAAGTAATGCAGGAGGTGCTTTTTGTCTTCTACTTTCAACAAAGAAGGCGACTTAAGCAATAAAAGTGACCACTGTTCCCAATCCAACAACCCAGTTTACTCAATACTGCAAAGACGTGTGGATCATTAGCCGCCCGATTTCAGACTCGGCTCACACCAGATATTATCCCTTACTTGCATCCCTGTATCTACCTTATTCCTGTTGCCGTGCGCTTTCGAAAATGGCATTTGCCCCAAAGCAAATCACCAAGTATCAAGCTGAGCACGCCGAGCTCCAGGGCGATGTCAGCGAAACGGCCACCAAGTATTGCCTGAGCCGGATCCCCCCCTTTAAATCGGGAGATGTCATCCACGACAATGCCTGTGGCTCGGGCGCCGTGACAGAAGCCATTATGGCCACCAAGCCGTCCGGCATTCACATTCACGCCACCGACATCAACCCCCAGTTCGTCACGGGCGTCGAAAGCTTGGCGAAAGCAAACAACTGGCCAGTTACCACGGCCGTCATGTCTGCGCAGGGGCTGACCTTCGATAACGACCTGTTTACCCAGTCAATCACGAGCTTCGCATTCCACTGCCTCGGCGATCACGACGAAGCTGCTCGACGGATACACCGTACCCTGAAGCCCGGCGGTGTTGCTGTGGCCACCATCTGGGTCTTTATGCCTCACGTCGGCGCTTTGCAGCGCGCTCACTGGCGCACACGTGGTAAAGACGGACCTATGCCGACTCTTCTTCCCACCGAAAACTTCCAGGAAGCAGACTTGAGGGCGACCCTCCAAGTCGGTGGCTTCAAGCCCGAAAACATTGCTTGCACCAGCACGACCGCCCACTTGAAGGTTCCGCCGGATGGCTTGAAGCGGTGGGCGCAGCTGGCTTGGAGCTACCTTGGTTCTCTTCCGTCTGGGTGGTCTCAAAGTGACGAGGATCATTGGGACGAAACCATTGATGACATCGCTGAGCAATTGCAAAGCGGGGAGGGTATCACGGTGGGCGCCAACGGCGAAACGATCATGGAGATGCGAGCAGTTGTCGCCGTAGCGAAGAAATAGACGGGACTCGGAATCGAGGTCTGGCGGTCTACGAGACACTCGGTCTATTAGTTTCTAGCCCCTGGTGTGTTAACACAATCATAAAACAGTATATCACATTCTCAGTATTTGTCACTCAATGTATATAGTAGCTTTAGCTATGTGGGGGGCGGCAACCGCAGGTTACACGGGCGGTTAATACAGGTGGGTATTAAAAACGAAGGCTTCCTTGCCCCTAAATCAAGGAGGCCTCTAGTTTATACGGGATCTTTTAGAGTAGTAATAATCCGACCTTAGGGCTTACTTGGATCTACTTCTCCGTAATAGATTATGTATCGTGGCGTTCAACTGGAAGCTATATATACCCACAAATGAGTTATAGTTTGAAATAAAGTTGATTTTAAGCGAAGCCATTCAGGAATGTAATGATCGAGGGCGGAAAGCATTCAATTTGATTGGAGGAAGACAGCTAGAATTTCGAACCTTTAGAGTGCAATCTACAAGCAGCATCTCTGCGAAGTGCGAACTACCTACCCTATTGCCGCGTGATGGTGTAAGATTGAGCTACATTGATCTCATTAGGGTTTCCTGGCGAGGGGAGGCAGTATTTCACCCAGCACCGGCTTCAAGCTGGGGGGGACACAACATCATATGATGCCGATGGGGAGCTCCACAGTCTGAAATAAAATGCTGAGCCACAAGTAGTCAGTGACGTCTGCTTCGAAAAGACAAACAATTTTGAATAGGGAAATGATAGCAGCGCTGCTTCTCTATGAGTCTGATTCTCTTGGGCAGTCTCGGAGAGGAAGACGTACATGAGTCCTAAATAACAACTTGAATTAATGCTTTAGCCAGACTTCGTGGGATAAAGGGTCACATGAAGGTGCACCGCCCTATGGGTCGCAGATGGTATAGGAGATTATATTTTCGGATCCCAAAACCTCCAGTCCTGGCGGCTTCCATACCAACTCTTCAACATTTGTAGGCAACAATATCCGCCCGTCTCTACAACTGCGTGCACACAAAGCACGGGATATTCTGAACTGTATTACTGTTGCAAGCTTCTATGATATCAGCGGTGATGACCTTATATCTCATCAAAGGCGTGCCCAAGAGCACTTGATTGAGATTTTCGAGAGCTAGGCAAAAATACCAAGCGCGGAGCTCCACAATACAGATAGATATATGCATCACATTGAGGACACTGATGGGACAATCAGACAGGTTCTTCCTTGGATCGGTCACACACCATCGGCTTAGAAATTTATATTGACACATTTCCCACAGGAAGCGAACCTACTTGGTAATTGTCTTGGATAAACAGATAATCTATATTATTAGGCAGCAACAACTAGGGAATGGGGACCATGTGACACATCCACTGACAAGACGTCAACGTTGAAAAGGTTCGGATGGAACATGCGATGAGTACTCAGTATTACCATGAATCTGAGCTGCAGTACTGAAGGAATAGACAGTGGAATCCCGAGCCAAAATGCTTCCAAAAGAAGCAGACTAATTCCACATGACTATCTAGGTATCCCGTGGCAATATGTGGCGGCACAAGAACCCGACACCTACTTCAGAACCGCCTGCCAGCCCTTCCGGCCGACATACCCAGTCACCCCCTCATCCCTCAGTACTTCGCTGCCCAGCCGTCCCGTAACCACACTGCGCTCGTAATCGACGCCGCGGACGTAGAATGGATAGGCCAGCCGTAGCATGGCGGTTTCATCTTCATCCGTTTTCTTCTTCTCCTCCTCCTTCCTGCCGTCTTCTGCTTTCCGAAGACGCTCTGCTGACGCGGCCGAACGAGTGCCCGCATCTTCCCAAACAGGCCGCCCTTCCCTCCGTCGCTTCGCGAACCCGCTTGCCTCGCGGTCCAGGGACAGGTACCACCGCCTCTGGTGCACGCTGCCGATAGAGTTCGTTGCGCCGGGGTATGCGTTGGTCCTGCGAACTTCTTCGTCCTCGAGCTCGCGTAGTTCGCGCTCGGTAGCGGAAATCTCCTTCTCGCCCTCCGTAACCCGTTCCACGGGGGCATGCACGATTTCCGCGTCGTCTTCGTCGTCACCGCCGGTCCGAATTTCCTGCACTTCCTTTCCGGTACTTCTTCTTCTTCCGGAGGGAGTAGAAGAATATTCCGGTTCGGAGTCGGAACTCGTACCGCGCTCAGGCGCATTCTTCTTGCCTTTGGCGGCCGATCGGGTTATCCTGCCCGAGGGCGTGGACGGCGCGCCGCGTCGCCTTCGCGTCTTGGGAGTGTGTGTACTCCGCGCCCGGCCCACCGCATCCTCCTCGCGCGTTAGACGTAGATTCAACACATACGGTGCTGGCAGGCGCGTGCCGTGAAGCTGCAATCTGATCTTTCGTGCTGCAAAGGCCTCATGTAGCTTTTGCTGCTCTGTCAACGCCGGCGAGCTGCCATCTTCATCTGTCGAGGATTGCGAGTCATCCCGTGAATGCTTGCGCGCTGTCGGCAAGATGGTGTAGGTGCCTGTATCCCAGATGAGGAGGGAGCCGGTGGCGTGAGAGGCTGTTTCAATGAGATGATTCTGTCGCTCGTTAGTGTTAGTCGACAATTTTATAGCCGTGGCTAAAGAAACTACTACTTGCCCATAAACAGTGTATTCGCGTCTCGGTCGCATTCCGATTCAGCCGGAAACTATTCGGATCCCCAGGGAGTCCGTACATGATGGCCCATGATGCGCTGCTCGTCTCATTGATTTGCAATCGTAGGTCGTAATGCGTTCCTGCAATCGGGTGGTCATGCTGATGGATAATGAAGTGCGCTCCTCGAGAACTTCCGGCATTGACCTCGTACAATTTCCGATAGCCTTCCACGGAGAGATGAGGGGTGCCTGAAGGGAACGGTGACAGACTGGTCTTAGCCAGAAGCGCACAGAAGTAGTCGAGATGATCCTCTATGCCAGCTTTCCCGGCTTCAATGGCGGAGGCGGTTGGCTGCTCCTCACCTTGACGATGCGAGGGCTCTTCGTCCTCGTCGGAGCTGCTTGAGCTAGCGGCATCATGGGGCAAGCCAGTGATATCAATGCTCCATTCTAGATTTCTCTTCTTGATGAAGGGGTTTGGTACCAATTCTGGGCTGCGCGATCGTTTGGTGGCCATGATAAATGCTCACTGGTAGCTTGATTCGTGGAGACGAAGGCACAGTACTAGATAGGATGCGTGGTGTGTTGATGAGGCGTATACGTACATACGCTAAAGCATCACGGGTGCACAGAAATTCCAGAGACGACGGAAGTCATTAGATATGCCCCCCTACATGCTCATGACTTATTTCGGGGGAAATAATCTGCTTGTTTGTTGGGCGAAACATTGAGCTTGCGTAGAATATTTGTGTCTCCTCCACTAATAAAAGAGAGATGTCTGGTTGAGAGTGTTGCTGAACAATTTGTCAGTCTCGGACTAAAACAACAGAAAACAGGTTGACATCCATAGTGCAAGCTAAGATAGATAGACCGTTATCACATACATCAAAGATTCAATCACTATTGTATGTTTATATCACTGCAAAAATTGTTAATGCAACTAGGAACTATGAGAGAGAAAGAGAGAAAAAAAGCTAAAAATTGATGGGGAAAATAAAAACTTGGTGATTGTTCGAACAAAAACACAAGATGATGAGAGTGGGACTCGAACCCACGCGGATTGCTCCACTGCGAAATTTGTGAACAGGGTTTACCTGAACGCAGCGCCATAACCACTCGGCCATCTCACCAGAGATCCATCTAGTTGACCAATTACTGGATGTTGCTTAGACTGTGTACCTAATCTCATGATCGACTGTACCACGAACATCTTGGGATCTAGGTAGATAAAACCTCAAAACTTAGCCAAAAAAAAAACCAAAAAAACAAAACCAAAAAGCAAATCGAAGAGTTAGTTAGTTCTTGATAGGTCTTGGTAAAAACTAGCATATATAAAGAGGGAAGTAGCTGTCGACTTATACACACCCAAGGTCAGTGTGTAATCTAAGTGGTATACACACAGCTCGTATGAGCAAGACACTACACAAACGAACAACTGAACCAGGAGTGTTTGTTTCCTGTAGTTTTTGTGTAAGTTGCGTAAGAGAGGGAGATGTACTGTAGTCTCTTTAGCAACCGGTTTTAAATAGCTAATTCTAGGCTTAAGACTCCGTTAGTTCTTTTGACTCGTTTGAGCTGCCCCGGCCGAGGATGCGCTGGCCGTACTCTGGTATGTCCGATTCGTTGATGCGCCCCGAAACAGTTGCCTTGACGGTGTTCTTCTTCCTGCTAAGTCCCTGGTGATTAGGTAATGGCTCGGCCTAGGGGCGTCATAGTGGCAATTACAGCTGTGTATGTTGATCCCGAACGACCTCGAACACTTGCTGGGCTCGTAGCAGCATCGCATTAAAAGTCAGCGCTATTACAGTCAAGAAGATCGATGAATGATATAATGATAGTTGTTCAAAAAAAATAGGATGCATAATTTCCTTGTAAGTAGGCTGTCTGTGTTAATAAATAAATCCTAGTATAAGAGCGGTAGAAGTCTCTATCAACAAAACAAGGTAAGCTATATATGCGCCGGTCTATGATTTACTGTACGATTTTGTGAATAACTCTAACTGGGGATAGTTCGGCGATCATTTCGCGTACAAGTATGATTTGAGCGTTCAGGGGCCTACAAGGCTGCAACAACCTTGATCTATTCGCTTTGCGCAATGCGGAGGTAAGGATATCAAGTCCAAGGCTTGGAAAGACAGCGTTAGGTCATGTTTTCTCCTCTCATCTAGCAAAGTTTAATAGAGTCGGGGTACATGCTAAAGGCATGCATGTTGTCAATGAAGGAATATAGAGAAGTTTACGTAGACTTACTGGGCCGGACACTTGTTAGGGGCAGGAAGCCTTCTAGCCTCTCTTCCATATCGGTGGAAACTACTAAATGGGGACTGCGGAAGGGAAGCCATTAGATGGTGTCTGTTAGTTTTCGTAGACCTTCCTGCGGGATACGATAACAACTTAGCTTGCCGATTGCCTCTGTCTAGATAGTGCGTTATACAGAGCGATTTCTTCCCGCAGCTCCTTAGGTAAACCTCTTCGAACCAATCGGGTAGCAGAAAAGAAGAAGCTGCGGATTTGTTCTGTGGTCCATTGGTAGTAGTTTTCCGGTTAACCCAAAGCTCAATAAATCTACTATGTAGTAAAACAGCATTGCGACTCGTACGATATATAATGCTCATTTTTATTTGTAGTTTCATTTTAACCTTCTTCTCCTGGTATGCTTAAATTCACGTGCACTAGTCGACGGCCATTTCTACTGACCATCCTTGTCGCCAGCACACTTGCTTTGCAGTGAGAGACAAGAGGTAAGACAGATATATGCATGTCATCAATACTAACCAAAAGAAACTTATTTTCTAGGTATCTGATATGCAAAGCGCAGAGGTCAGAAAACAAAAGCTTGCGGTTCTCTGATGCTGGTAGTAGTCATTATGAAATCAATAAAGAACATTTGTCCATCCCTTAACGCCATGGCATGAGCTACACCCGAGCCCTTATGCCTAAATAACATTCCCTCTTGGCCATAACTGCATTATTGGACATCAGAATTGCCGCCGTATATCGCCCGCTTTCGATGCTCCCGTGATATCATCTCTGTATGCTTCATTGTTCCTACCGAGTGACCATTCCTATCGGTGGGTCCCCGTAGCTGGGTTACTTATACTGCATGGGTGGTTGACCTTGAGGCGGCGGGCTACCCCAGCCTTGATGCGGGCCTTGATTTTGCAACGGTATATTGTTACCTCCACCCTTCATGTTCATGACATCAGGTCTGTTCTCGAGCGGCTGGGCGAAGTTGCAGACGTGACACACAACATCGTGGTAGCCTTTGAAGGAGAGAGGTAACACGGGCTGTGGGATCAACGAGTTAGCACATATATCGCGCGATTTCCTAGTTGCGCACACATGTAGCACGGCTCTACGTGCAAACGTAAGGCGGAGAGGAGAGGAGAGGAGAGAGGAGACAGAGAAGAGGGAAGACAAGGGACACTCACGATGAAACAGAAAGTAAACCACGGGTTGCTCTTGATGACATGGGCGGCGTAGTTACCGCAGTTGTGGCACTGGCAGGTGAGGCCCTCGTATCCCTCAACCTCCTTGCGGAAGGTGTGCTCGCCGCAGGTGAAGATTAGACACATGGTCCGGCGAGTGCGGCTGAAGCGACGTCCGGCGTGCGAGGGCTATTCGAGATGGCGCGGAGTGCGATGCCGTCGAAGCTGGGAGTCGAAATCCTGTTGTGTCGGACTGTTTTCGCGGTGCAAAGGGTCGTAGATGTAGAAATAAGGATGAAATGTAAGAGATGGTATCTACTAGGTAGACTTGTAATGTAAGAGGTATCGTATGAGGTGGTAATTCAGGCGGCTCAAATGGGTTCCCTGATCACTGATAAAGCGACATGTGGAAGTGGATGCTGCGTCACGACTGGAAGACTGCGCCACCACGCTATAGATAGGTTGAGCTCGGATGCCGCAGCCAAGAACACAGAACTATCCAATACCTACCTACACTACCTACATAATGTTAAGTACTACCCAAGGAACTTTTGAAGACGGCGGAGTGGCTGCCAGAACATCGGTGTCCTGAATAAGTAGGTAGCCAATCCGCCACTGTTTGTACCGCTGGACTGCCGCTGCCCATACCTAGCACTAGGGGCGGCAGAGAGTTAGTACTAGAGTGCTCTAGATAGTACCTAAGTACCTAGAGGTAGGTACATAGCTTGCTACCGTTAGGCCTAGGTACCCCACAAGAGCTTTTAGCAGCTTGCTCCGATAAGAAAATGTCGTGACAATTTCGAATCGGTATTAAGGTTCCAACCCCTCCAACACATCGACAACAACGAAATCCTTATTCCATCCAAGCCCACATCGCATGCGCCCGCGGGCCTCGCGCCCCTTATTCTTATAAACATGCTCTACGACCTCAATATTGCGTGGTCGCCGCACACGAGCCCCACCGAGCTCGAGCGCACGCTCCGTTTCAGCGCATCCCTCGGCTACGATGTCGTCGCCGTCAATCACACGCTCGGGGCGCCAATCCCGCCGAACATGACGAATTCGCTGCCGAGATTCGAATTGCCCTCCTCTTCCTCTTCCTCGCCGCCGAAACTCCCCACCATCCTCCGCCGCGCAACCGTCGTCCTGACGGAACCGTCGCAACACCACCGTCTGCCCCAGCTCGCCTCCGCGTACGACATCCTCGCCGTGCGTCCGCAGACCGACGAGAGTTTCTCGGCCGCCTGCCAGAGCCTGAATGATATATCCATGATATCGCTGGACTTGACGGTGCGGCAGCCCTTCAGCTTCCGTCCGAAGCCCTGCATGTTCGCCGTGAATCGCGGCGTTCGCTTCGAGGTGTGCTATTCGCAGGTTCTGCAAGGGCCGGCGCCAGCGCATGTTCTCGGACCTAAGGGTGCCAAGGGCGGGAGTAGCGGCCAAGTTGGCAACGCAGGGGCAGGCGTTGACGCTCGCGCCCGTGCGGCCTTCATTGGCAATGTGTCGTCATTGATCCGCGCAACTGGTGGCCGCGGCATTGTGATAAGTAGCGAGGCACGATCCGTGCTGGGCTTGCGTGGGCCCGCCGACGTTATAAACTTGCTTCACGTGTGGGGTTTGCCGACGGATCGCGCCACAGAGGGACTGGGCGTGCTACCGCGAGGCGTCGTCATCAATGAGGGCCTGAGGCGCAGCGGCTTCCGAGGCGTCGTTGATATCGTCGGCGTGGCGGACCGTGTCCAAGTCGACGTCGAGATGGGCGAAGACGGTGATGGGAGTGCCGAAGCGACTTCTGGAATCGCACAGGGCAACGAGGGCAAGAAGAATAAGAACCAAGAAATGAACGGTCCCAGGGGAAAGAAAAGAAAAAGTGGCGACGATGTCGAGACCTTGGCTACTGGAGGTGAGGGCGAAGAACAGCCGATGAGTAAACGGCAAGCGAAGAAATTGAGAGCCGCCCTGCGAAAGAAACAAGCAGAAGATGGAACAACTGGTATATAATGCATTTTGAGTACACGGACGGATTTGGCGTTTCGGGCTTGAAGAGAAAACTTAGACTTATGATACCCCCTCAATATACTTGCTGCTTCGAGATAACCTCGAACGGTCTCACGCCACTTCATCGGCGATGGCATGAAATAGACTTATGATGAGAGAGAGAGAACGGGAAGTGATCTTGACTTTTTGTTTCGAGCAGGGCTGCAGGGACGCAAGGAAACAACTAAGAAAATGCGTGGCGACGTGGATATGGAAAGACATACAACATTATCACAAATTCTCATCATAGCATATAGAGTCAGATTCTTTTATATTGCATTATATACTCAAGAAAAGAAATATTCTCCACCAGGGGGTTTTTCTCAAGATTGAATCTAGAAGGTTTACAGATACATATATCAAACAGGTAGTTAGCGGACAAAAAAAAAGGAAAAAAAAAAAAGTCTGATATATGCGCGTTTTCTTCTCCCGCGATTTCAGCTCCTCTTCTCTCTTGCCCCCCCCGCCCCCTTTTCCCCATCTCGAAAGCCTCATCAACGGCGATCACGCAACGGGACCGAGGTCGATTACGGAGCTTAGATCGACGCCGTTGAAATCGATCGGGGCACCCTCGTTCGCGCCCGCGAACGTCGTCGCCGTGAGCGCGTCTGGGAGTGCCGGGGCCAGGTTGACGTTTGAGACGACTGCGGCGGGGGTTTCTTGTG